TGCCAATTATATAGACTATTTAGTAAGAAAAAGAACAAAACAGTATATGCATAATAACTTGGAACACAGTGTATATAATGTGAACACTGCACTACTACTACTGCACTACTACATAGAGACAGTTACCTCATTATATTATTACTTTTCTAACTAGAATATTTCCAGAAATTGTTTGTACCAAGTGTCCTCAGGGACAGTTTTTACCACAGCGTGTCTGCACGGTCTCTAAAATCAAAGAGTTTGAATTTTAGACCTTAAAATGTCTTAAATAGGATTTTGACCGGTCTTAAACATTGATTGGATCAATGAAGTTAAGGTTACTTGTATTAAGTTAAATTTTTCAGTCTCACATTAAAATTTGTTTTAGGGAAAATTTTGTATTGATCATACAAAATGAAACCGACATCGATTTTCCTTCATATCCTTCTTCCCCCTTTTTTGCCAGTATGGATGTAAAATAGGTCTTTAGTTGCGTTCCTAATGGTCTTGCAGAGGTCTTAAATGTAACCTGTTGAAACCTGCAGAAACCCTGTACCAGGACTGAGAGACAATACAGGCCTAGAGCCTCAGCTAAAACAAAAAGATGAGTAAGCTGACTTTGGAATATGGAAAGGAATATCTTATTGTGACACTTGACCTGCCATTGTGATAAACAGAATTGTTTAGTGTTTTCTGCTTCTGGGTCCTTAGGGAATAGGACTGGGTAGCATTTGGACTGGACATTTTTGTGACTGGCATCACTGCTTTGCTCCTTGACCTTTTTCTTTGTTTCTCACCACTTCAGGCACTTCTGCACACCCGGAACGTGTCTGCCGAGGAGGCGGCCATGTACTACTTCAACAAGCTGGAGAATGAGGTGCCCATAAGCTAGCCTTAGTCCCCACAGGTACACCTTGGTACATTAGACCTTGTGGAGTTTGTCCAAATCCAAATCTCAGTGTCTCTCTGTGTCTGCTCTGACCCTCAGGAGGAGGGAGACGATGACCTCATGTTTAAGATGGTGTTTGTGGTGAACATGGACCTTGCCATGGGTGTTGGAAAGGTAGGTCCAGTGGTGCCAGTGGCAACTGTGTTCAAATACTCAATCCATCCTAAAGAGAGTGTATATAATATTGAACAATAGCTTAGTCGTTTTAAGCTTAGTCCTACGTTTAATAACTCCTGCCTCTGGTTTTACAATGATGTAAAGCTGCCATGTGTTCTCTTATTTCACAAAGCCCGTCTTTGATTTGCATGAGTTCCAGGTTCTTCTCGGTCAGAAACGGCACAAAAAGGTCTGGAAAGTTAAACAGATGTGTAGGTGTAAACTCTGCGCTGTGTGTTTGTGCAGGTGGCAGCCCAGGTTGGCCATGCTGCTGTGGGTTTGTACCAGGCTCTGCAGGAGAAGAACAGCTGGAGGGAGATGGCCTGGAAGTGGGACCACAGCGGGTAAGGCCTGTACAGTATGTTGGAGGAGAAATGCATGTCTTTCATGTAGTCTTAAGTTTTGAGTTCATAGTCAAAGCCTTAAAATGAGTTGACTTTGTGCACTGAATATGTGCAAATGTTGAGGTTATGTTATATCTTACATGACAAGAAATATTCAAAGCAACAATTGACAGCAATAATCTTAAGAAGCTTTAACAGTCTGAAGCTTTTATTCTTGTGCAGAGTTCTTTGAAATAGACCATAGTGAAAATAACAGTTTTCAGCATCATTTCGGAGGAGCAAGAAAGTTCAAGTGTTGTCAGAGCTGGGCCATATAAAAGTCTTATATCCCGATGTGGATATGAAATTAGCTATATAACAATACATTTCACATTATAACACATAATGAATACATAGTTTGTATAAAATGACCACTGTGTCACACTCTTCATACCCAAACCACATTTGTGTGATAGAAGTAGCCCCTCTTTTAGGTACGAGCTCCTCGTTTTGTCTTGGCTGGTTGTTGTCCTCGTCCCACTCTGTGTCACCCTTTTTTTTTTCCCCCAATCATTGCTGCACGGCCTGTCTGTGTTCTGCATCAGTGTGGGATCGCACTTGCTTCTCTCATTGTTTGCTTTGTAGAATTGCTCAGCTCCAACATTGTTGACTACAGAAATCCTTTTTGATATATTTTACCAACACTTACAATATTGTTGAATAATGAAGTCATTTGTAAAAAACATTAATAATGAACACGTTCATGTGCATGGTGTTGATACAGAGCCAAGAAGGTGGTGGTCCAGGGCACTAATGTGGCTCATCTACTGGAGCTGCAGGCTCTGGCTATGAGCCTCAGCCTGCCCACTTACCTGGTCCAGGATGCAGGGCTTACCCAGGTGAGGGAAACAGACCATTTGTGTTGTGTGTAATTGTATTTTGGAGGCACTGGTAGTCATTCCCAAAATATTGTCACATTATTAGAGCTAATATATTTGATTCTGTCAGTGTTGTACTGTGCCTTGGCATGAAGATGTTATAGAATCTGAGCAGTAAACCAGCCCCTGTTCTGTCTGGCAGGTGGAGGCTGGGTCCCGCACTGTCCTGGCCATAATGGGCGAGGAGGAGATGGTGAACAACGTCACTGGGAGTCTGAAGCTGCTCTGAGGGGCTCAAACCCACAGTGGGGGAGGCATGGCTCTGCAGTGCCACTGTGCAACCAGCAGAGGGCAGCATTTCCCAGCGGCACGGAGAGTCTTGGCATGCAAGAGTGTAACAACCTTTTAAAAAGACCTTAAGAACGGGGGAATGTCCCAACACCAGAAAACAAACACTCTCAGCCATTTGTTTCCCTTTCATTCTTTGTCGCCGCTTAGTCGGCCGTTGAGAGCAGGAGGGGAGAGAGACCGGTTCTTCACAGGGGAACAAGACGAAGGCAGTCTTTTTCTTTTTGGTGACCTTTCTCTTTTTTTAACAGGCCACTTGCTTAGAGGAGTCTTATTAGAATCACTTTCCAAACAGTTCTAGTCTGTTGTCCAGTTTCAGATTTGACAAAGTCAAATAAATTTTTGTTTGATGGTTGACCAATATTGGAATTATGCGTACTTATTAAAGGGGCCGTGTACTGTAGCCTAATACATAATGTAATTATAATTACACCCATAGCAGATGTAGTAGTCCCCTGTTGGATCCACTACCCCTGAGTGAAGGGTAACTTATTAACTTAACTATGTGAACACTCATTTTTGACGTTTAAATGATTTTGTGTCTGTATGCGACTATTCTCCCAAAGATCCCTACCCTGTAGACTGAATAACACTAATTATTATTATTATTATTATTATTATTATTGATAAATGGCTATATTTTGTATACATATGCCTGTTAGGGCCATATACTGTATAATCTGTGGTGTGCCATCCTAACAGTATGCACAGTTACTGGACTTTGTTGTATTGTATTTTTTTTTCTTTATGCAGAAGGAAAAAACCTTGAGTTATACTTTTTGGATTTCTTGGTAGAATTTGATGGTGGGTGAGTGTCTGTGGAGCCAAAATGTCATGTAGTAAAGGTTTGTACTAGGCCTGACTTTATGCACATTGCCTGTTGTGGAAAGTTTACAATAATGAAGTCGATCAACGTACAGCTTGAGAGAACGCAGATGATGTATGACAACTGTTAAGGACTTGGTGAAACGTCTTGCGCACTAATAATCTTAACACACATAGAATGGTGTGTGAGCTGTCAAGTGTCTTATGTTCTCACTAACAAATATTTGTGGCCATGAGCTGCCACTCCCATAATTCTTAGCTAAATGTCAACGATTTTATTTGTAATAGAAATCTTTAAAAAAAAATGGCAGTGTTATGCATGCAGTGTATATTTGAACAGACCATTGGAATCCCAAAGTTATGTCAATTTTAGTAACATGTCCACACTTTGATACCTCCTGTGTTATAAAGTCATTTGTGTGAGTGCTTCAGACTATGGAGACAATTAAAAGGCCTCCAGATTAAGTAACAAGCAGCCTGAATCGTGTTTTTCCCTTCCAGACTCGAACAAACAGACTGGCGCATATGAACAGAGATTTGCCGGGGCTGTGGCAGTGAAAGCAGTGTGGGGGAGGGTTGAACACAGCCATGTTGCAGTGCGTGGTTTGGACCGGCCATATGACATTGCTTTTTTACCGCAGTAACAATGGCAGTATTGTTAAATATGGCCACTGCCTACCATGGCAGTCCAGCTTGTAAACGGTCCTTTTAATTATTAACTTCATGACGTTCTCGGAAACGATTCTGCTCGTGTTTATAAAGGAGAAAAAAAATAAAGGAAGGGAAAGCGGAAACTAAACGTTATTTTAAGAAAACTGACAAGATAAATGTTAAGTAACGTCAAAATTAAAGTGTTGGTGTTAGCTTTCGTGTAATTCACCGAGCACTAAAAAAATGATTGTGTTTACACCTATTTAGAATTCATGGCTAAAAACTACGTTATACCTGCGTAGACGAATTCAGTATTACCTCATTTGTGTAATGGTGGCTACTACACCGATTCCATAACCACTGCTGTGCTGATGTCGAGGGATAGCCCATAGTTATGGCATTATAAAATAAGTGAGCATAGTATTGAACTACTTTCTGCTTTGTTCGGCCTAAAACCTTCACTTCACGTATCCATACGCAAATGTCAGATATTTTGACAACCAACATTATGTTTCCTAATTCTGCGTTATGAAGCTCGAGTCTTAATTGTATTACACCCACAGCCGCAATATAACGATTGTATTATTCTGCTGTCTAATTTCATCGCCCGTCAGACCTCTGCAACAAATGACGTTGGCATTTATCACCACAGCCAATCAAAGTCGCCCCTCAAGTCTCATGACATGACAAGAAACCAATCGCGTCATTGGGACGACTTGTTTATAAATATCTCTGTCCAAATGGCGAAAATATTTTTTATTTGCTTGTATCGTTTGGAAATAACGTCTCCATTTGACGCTTTGTAAATCCAGTGTGTGTGATAGGCTAGGACAATAGAGTTACATTATTCAGCAAGAAACAAGGGCTGCGTCTCAATTTTCTTTGTAAATTCTAATATCACATGAAAAGTTACACTCGTTTTTTTCGCCCCTTCCTCTGGTAACGTTACAACTCCCAGGTGAGTTTTATTGAGCCGCTGCTACTGCTAAAAGTATTTTCGTTGCGTCGGTCACTTTTTCTGTGGCTACAAGTGTGGGAAGAGACTGATATCAGCAGCGGGAACAAAAGTAGGAGGGGCCAGTAATAAGTAGATGCAACCCAGGAGCACTGGTCAATTTCCCTGTCCAACCCCTTACCAGATGCTACCAGAGCGACACCTCATACTCCATTCATCTGACATACCGGTAGGTGGGGCTGACCCAGTGGGCTAACCCTGCCTCTGGTGTCCCTGGAACTGGGCCCCAGAGACCCCGTGTAGCTAACGCTCGCTACTATGTATTGGTATGAAAGCTCCTTCCACGTTAGATTGATGAATGTAACCCTCAAATAAAAAGCATTAATCCCACTAACGATTGAAATTAATTCCATGCCATTTGAATTTAATAACGAGCATTTCCCGAAACTTTGAAGGTACAGATCCTCTGTTGGGTGTCAAATTGTCTCCCGAATCCGGCCACTCTCTCCTGCTCTCCTCCTTGTACGCCACCAGTACACACATATCATAATGGAACTGAATTTTCGCACCCCTCCTCAAAGCAGTGCCCGCCCCGTTTTACGTAGTCGCCGGGAAAAAAAATAATCGACGCTGTAATATACCAAATACTTGCATGTATATCTCGTGTGTAACATGACTGACACATCGCCGTCGAATCATTGGCGAGAGGCGGGATATCACAGCAAGGGCCGCCCAAGGAGAGAGCCCCTGCACGGTCGCCAGGGAAACCCCGTGGCGTGGTTGTGTGTCAGTTTCGCTGGGACCCGCGGTCGATGCCGGTGAGGAGGGGGATGGGCGCCTCGGCGAATGTAAGGACCCGAGACAGAATCAGAGCCCTGTATCACATACAGCAGCATATACCCCATTATAAATAGCGACTGTAAATATACAATACACTAAAATAAATGGATTTATCCACCGGGGATCTATAATAGACACTCAATGGATGCAGTGCACCTGAACAGGACAGGGAATTTAACTTTCCGTCTATGCGTGGGAGACACTGAGAAGTTTGTTTCCTACCCCTGGAGAGGGAGCTACTTTTAAGGGCAAAGGATACAGGAGACTCCGAGGCCGGACTACAGGCCTACTGGTCTGGTTGGATTTGATGTTTGGATACTATAAGGACTTCCTACTGTACTTGAATTTGCCTCGCTTATACAAGTTTGGAATGCCTCTTTAGGTGAGTACTTTACATCTGCTTTAATTGTTAATATCACCCTCTATAAGGCAGGCAGTAACATAAATATAACAGTCACGTACTGACCATGTTTTCAGTCAACCAAACATAGCTATGAAGCTAGCCAACTTTGCTAGCTAACTAGTTAGCGTCCAGTTAAGTTTATTAGAACAAGTTGGTTGTCCTCCGCTATCTTTCCACTTTCAAGCGGCTCGCTTGGGTGGTTGAAAAGCTCCCCATATTGACGGTCTGCCTTGCAGGGCTGCTCTGGGCTGTCTGGACTGATCTTCCAGGATTTTTGACCAGCTCCTCGTGTTGTTTTTGATAGCTAGCTTGTTAGTCTGGCAATCAACCACATTACTAGTTATATAATAGCCAGTGTTAAAACGTATTTTCAAGCAACCATGTCCCCAAAGCTCTCAACGACATTCTGCAAGTTTTCAGGAGTTTGACTTGTGTAACGTTCACTCCATTAGAGGTGTCTACAGTTCAGGCTTTTCCCTCAGTTTTCACACCAGGGATGAACCGGTCACATTAGCTATTGTTATAACGATACATTGCCATTGAACGTTAGAGGAATTAAGTTTCACACCAAAGCCCTATGGTTTAGCAACACATGTCTGTGGTTTTGAAGCATTAATAAAAAAAATCTTATTTTGTTGAGCAAGTTTCGATAATGTGTTTCTACATAGGTTTAACATACCTCAACGTTACACACTCAAAACAACATCAGCAGCACATCACAGCTACTTTATTCGCTTTTGTTGCATAGTTGTTATTAGGTTAAATTTAGAGCAGAATAGACCCATCTATTGGGCTAGGAAGTTCAGGATCAGACCGCGTAAGGTAATATGCAAATGCAAACTTGTTTTATTAGAACCAACAACAATTTGTTGCATTGTTATTTTGACAGCAACGTGTTAAATGCTATTCTGGGAGCAGGAAACTGTCGAATTATTTGAAAGTTGCCCATGACACAACTTGCAATTTGATCATTATTGGGCGACTCATGTTAGCTAAGCAACCAGCTGCTGTGTTGGTAGCAGACAAGCCATAGGCAACAATTGCTATACTAGCCCTTTAGCTAACTTTTTGGATGTTTTCCAGTTGATTGTGTCCTCATTTTGAACCAGTACTTTATTGCAGACCCACACTATGGACCTCTCGTTATGTAGCGTATACACCAGGAGACGTGTCTGTATAGCGAACTGGTTGCTGCTGTGGCTTTCTGGACGAATACGTCTATTTTTATGAAAAATACGGTGTCTGCATCATGGTGGTGTTTGGATACATCATGTTAATGCATTTGTCGTTGGCAACATTCCTAACTTCGCTCAGGCGTGTGAATCAAGCTGAAAGCTCGGTTTTTCCTCTATTTGTGCTTGTTATTTCCCCCCCCCCGTGTGGGACCCAGCAATCAGAAAAGCAGATATGTTGGCTAGTGACTTGCTGTTCTTCACCTCCCCCACCTACCAACCCCCAGCCTCGGTGGCGGTTAAGAGAAATGGGTGGTATTTTAGAGGGGAGCTCTTGTTTCCTTTTTTAGCCTCCATTTTTTATTTCAACGTGTGAGTAAGTGTAGCATTGTTGATCCGGAACGTAGCAATCACAAGTTTCGACCAAGTTCGAGACCTCGTAGCTGCTATTATTTTTAATCACCATTTCGCTGTTTGATGATTCAGATATTTTCTTGACAGTGAGAAAATGCCACATTTTCATCTGCAACTCTGTTGGGCTGTTTCAGCCATCAGTCTCAATATTATCTCCTTTAGTGGAATTGATGAGCATTTAGAGGTAAAATGAAATACACTGGGAACTGCGAGCCAGCCACAACTACAGTTGACAAGTGAAGCTGGGAAATGGCTGAGTGATTAAATAGCATGTGTTTGTGCGAGGGTTTTTGATTTATTAGGACCCCGCGTCTCCCGAGCACAAATGGCTGCCCTCACCGCCGCCTGAGTAGCTGTGCTCCACTCGGCTGCACCACGTAGGCTCGCATTGTGCTGCGCCCGGAGTGCGGAGCGGTGGACACAAGCAGCACCGAGAGAGCAGACGTTATTTTTGCTCTATCAAACATGTTTAACTCAATGAATGTGCCACCGGATGTGTGACTGCCTTCCTGCAGTCATATTTGTGTCTGACGTGTCATAAAGTCAACTGTTCATGTTACTCTTCGACTCAAAAAGATTAGATTGAATGCTTTAAAAATGTACATTTGTTGTGCGAGTGAATCTGCCATAATCATTTATACTTGTGGGTAAAAAATCCACTTAATAAATCTGTTTGAAAATGTATGTGGAGCTTCAAGTAAGTGTGTTTGCTCCTGAGCTGTTGTCGACCTTGCTTCATGAGTACAAAGATTACACCCGTGCCCTGCTGGGGGTGTCCAGCCGGTGCCAAGTATTTGGATTGATCTAAAAGCTTGTTGGAAGCCTCATTGCTGTGTGCTGAGCCTTGTTTTCATTGGTTGCGACTGACATTCTCTGAATATGTTTCCCATCTTTTAATAGACAGTGTGGGCCACAAGCTTACAAACCTGTCCACTCAGAATCATTGGAAACACGAGCCCCTCCAGCACTCCCCCTGACCCTGGCGTGCCTTCCTAACTCAACCTGCCACCCTGGGAAAGCATGCCATGTACTGCCTG